AGCAATAGAGTTATCATATTAACAAACTCGCATCAATCCAACTAAATATATATATATATATATATATATATATATATATATATATATATATATATATATATATATATATAAATATATATATATATATATATATATATATATATATATATATATATATATATATATATATATAAGTAATTTATCCAAATAAGTTTGATTAAAAAGAACTGACATTGTCTGTTTAATTTTTATTTTATTTTTCCAATTTTCGGGTAAAGTGTTGAATATTGAGGCTCGAAGTTGTGGATAAACTGTCCAAAGTTCATAATGCCCAACACGTCATCTAAAATTTAATCAAAAAAATTTAATAAGTAATTAAATTGACAGACATTGTCGGTTCTTTTTAATCAAACTTGTTTAGGTGAATGCTTGCTGCCTATATATATATATATATATATATATATATATATATATATTTATATATTTGGATAGATAGATGTGAGTTTGTGACACTGGGTTTCACGCTTTAGCGATCGTCAGACAAATTGATTAATTTTTTAAAAAAATTGGGTTTATGTAGATTGCGTGTATTGGTGTTATTGTGGAAGTGGTGGGGGAAACTTCGTTGTTTTGTCATCGTACTAACGCAAACATCGACGTATGCAGACACATATACATACTTGGTCGTCCGTCGGGACTCATACATATATAAACATATGTGGGCAGTTTCGGATATGACATATGTATGTATACGGGTGGTGTTGTGTCTATACATACGCATTTCTATGTTGAAATTTTAAAAAATGAATCAGTTTGTCTGACGATCGCTAAAGCGTGAAACCCAGGGTCACAAACTCACATCTATCCAACCAAATATGTTAGCTCTATCTCTGATATTGAGCGCTTTCTAATAAGTACTGCGCATATAATATATAAATAATTATACATATATATATATTTATTTATATTTTATACACACACACACACACACACACACACACACACACACACACACACACACACACACACATATATATATATATATATATGTATGTGTGTCTGTGTTTGTGTGTATGTGTGTGTGTGCTTGTAAAATCTCAAATACAAATAAAAACTATAACTGTAAAAAGACAGTATAAATAAAGAAAAAAAAGCTTTCTTTCGCAGCGCGTTTTGTCCTTTCCTAATATCCTTCAAGGGACGAAATGCGCTAATAAAAAAAGTTATCACTTTTGCCTTATATATATATATATATATATATATATATATATATATATATATATACATACAGGTGTTGGACAAAATGATTGCAACAGGTTCAAATTCCACTCCTATATTTCTAAGACCTATTATATTATGAAATTTAACCAAAACTTCGTAATTACTGGTTATATCTATTGTAAATACGTTTATTTATCTAATTTACTGTATTTGTCTTATTTATTTATAGAATTTAGTAAAATTTTAGCTAAAATTGTTGAAGCTTCGATGGCAGAAGCCTCGATCACTAAGGTTGCTGAAGTGTTTGGTTTTTCAAGAGCTACCATATCAAGAACTATTCGAGAAACAGGGCAAAACCTCTAGCAACCGTAGCAATTCGGGCCGGACATTGCAAACTTACTGAAAGGCACCGACTACATGGAAACGCACTGTGGCAAAAAAATCATCGGACTACTGCGGCCAAAGTGACAGCTGAGTTGAATAGTTCAGTTTCTGCTAAAACTGTTCGTCGTGAGCTCCATAAGGCTGGATATCATGGAAAAGCCGCCGTAAGGAAATCTCTTCTCTCCACTCGTAACATTCAGAAGAGGTTGAAGTGGTGCAGACATTACAATGCCTGGTCTGCAAACCAATGGAAGCAAGTCATATTCTCAGACGAGTCCAGTTTTTCTCTTTTCCCAACTTCAGGTTGAGTTTATACGTGGAGGCAGCCTAAAGCTTACAACCCTGACTGCCTTCTTCCAACAATGAAGCATGGAGGTGGATCAGTGATAGTTTGGGCCGCCATATCATGGAAATGTCTCAGTCCAATAGTTGCCCTGCATGGTAGAATCAACAGCAAAGATTACCTGAACATTTTGGGAGATCATGTTCATCCAATGGCCCAGACTTTATTCCCTGATGGTGACTGCGTCTTCCAAGAAAATAATGCTTCAATACATACCACTCGAGTGGTTAAGAATTGGTACGAAGAGCATGAAAGTGAGCTAGAACATATGGAGTGGCCTCCCCAATCTCCAGATATCAATATTATTGAACATTTGAGGTGCATTTTGGAGCGACAAGTTAATAGCCGTTATCCTCCGCCGTTGTGTCTTAAAGAGCTTACAACCCTTTTATCCAGAAATATTTTCTGTTTTCTTTTAGATTTGTCTGATGAATTGGGTCTTTTTTTAAAGATGCTAACAAAATGAATATAACCTCATGAAATTTTAAGTGTTTATGCCTTTTATAATAATAATTATTGCTCTGTCTCTGACATTAAGCTCTCCCTACATTTATATCCTTTTGGAAATATCCATACTGATCTCTAATATTATCATTATATATATATATATATATATATATATATATATATATGCGTGTGTGTGTTTGTGCGTGTTTGTGTGCGTGAAATTGAATGAGAAAGTAGAAAAAAAATTCTATGTAACGTGTTTCATTCTCATCAGATTGAAGTAATGTTCTTATTGATGGACATATATATATATATATATATATATATATATATATATAGCGGTTATAGATAGAGTTGTCGGTTATAATTATAAGATGTAGAAACGATAAGTTTTAAATTCTAAGTAATTTAGTCTAGAAGAATCCTCAACAGAATGCAGAAAGCACTGAACGTTTGTTTCGTCCTATTTTGGGACTCATCAGCATATATATATATATATATGAAGAAATTTTGAAAAAACAAACAAAAATCCTTAAATGTAGTTAAATGAAAAAATGTCGACGTCTGACGTTTCGGTTTATTAAACCTTGACCAAGACAATATTCATCAAAATACAATTCAGTTCAATATGACAAATACGATGGACATAAAACTTGTGTTTTTATTCCAGAACAGATAATTGAAAATTTTAAAATGATGAATATTGCCTTGAAAAAGGTTTAAAATGGAAACGTCTGTCGTCACATAGGCGACGCTTTAATACATTTGATGATTTTTGTTTGTTTTTTCAAAATTTCTTCATTCTGTCGGATTTATATCCATTTACACTTGCTTATATATATATATATATATATGTGTGTGTGTGTGTGTGTGTGTGTGTGCGTGCGTGCGTGTGTGTGTATGTTGTTATTATTATTATTATTATTATTATTATTATTATTATTATACTAGTGCTACTCGGTTGGTAAAAAACCTCGGATAGCACAACTTGCAAGTATATCAAAACAAATTGGTACCCGAAGAAAAAAATTGGAAAAAAGAAAGAACTCTAAACATCCGAACAGGGCGAAATAAATATTCCCGTTCCTTAAGTTTATAGTCGAAAGAAAAAACCCAAGCTAGTAATAAAGCTAAAACGTAGAGTGCTCGATAAGCTAAGAAGAGCAAGGATAAATGGAATAAATCCTGAAGAGCCAGGAATAACTTACCTAAGTTTCACGTGGTTGTTATTGGGTTTTTTTTTGTCACGTGGTCATGGTTTTATTTGGTTTTGTCAATAAATATTGTTCCATTATTTTCCTTTTTAGCCAGTTTTAACCTGAAAATCCATTTAGGTGAAACCTAGGTAGGTTTTCCTGGCTCCTTAGGATTATTTTAGTTTTTGCTCTACTTAGTGTATTGAGCACTTTATGTTTAGTCTTTTACTCATTTTGTCTTTTCTTTGGATTTGGAGCTCAAGCACTTGATGAGAGGATTCGTACAGTGTTATGTTCTTGGTTCTTTCTTTTTTTTATTTCCAATTTTTTCCTCGGACATCAATTTGTTACATTACAAGTTGAGATAACCGATGTTTTCAAACGAGTATTACTATTTTTATATATATATATATATATATATATATATATATATATATATATATATATATATATATATATTGAACAATAAAAAATATCAAAAAATTGAAATCTTCAGACACACTGGGTTGTATAGTAATATTCCTTCATTTTTATTATTATTTCATTTAGATTCCTCTACTAGTTTCGGCTAACATGGCCATCATCAGAAATGAATGTCTTGATGGAAAAAAAAAAAAAGATTTACATTTTTTAAGATTTTTTATTGTTCAAAATATAATCAAGGATAATAGACACGGGACTGAACCAAAAGCCGAGGACATAACACCAACAGAACCGATAAACACGGAATTATTGGCTATCCGTATGAATAGCTAGGTATGAATCACACCAGGAATATATATATATATATATATATATATATATATATATATGTGTGTGTGTGTGTATGTGTGTGTGTGTGTATGTGTGTCTGTGTGTGTGTGTGTGTGTGCGTGTCTTTGTAATCGGTAATTCCATAACCTAACAATGAAAAATTGAAAACACTTGCTTTATAAAAACAAATATTTATTTTCAAACATCTTCATTCAATGGTGTATATTAATCACATTAATGGAACATTATACACTGTAAAATTCAGATCCCAATTTATCAGGTTATGGACTTACTGATCCACACTCATATCTGTTCGTCGATATATCAGTTGATGCGAAATAGAGAATTTCAGTTTGAGAGAGAAAATGGATTAAAGCAATCAAGAAAGAAAGAAAATAAAAAGGACCCAGAAGAGATAAGCGATAAGTAGATAAAGAAAGCGAGGTGGGACACTGGAGAGACTGAGAGAGAGGGTGGGGGGAGAAAACGAATGCAGTGAGGACTTGGGAATGGTTAACGAGCCGACTGAACTCAGCTGGCCCGAGAGGCGAACAGACGACAAAAGAAAGGAATTGGTTAATTCAAGTTCATTGATTTAAAAAAATAAATAAATAAAAATAAAATATTCAAAATAATAAAATAAAAATATTCAAGCGGGCAGATTTTATTTAATTGAGTCAGAATATGTCGGTGGGGGGGAGCGATGAGGGATGACGACAGGGGGCGGGGGAAAAATGAGTAAGAATTAAAACAACGGAAAGTTTGGGAAAGAAAAAGGAGAGAAAAGTGAGTCTGATAACGACGATGATGATGATATTTCAGAAGAAGAAGAAGAAGAAGAAGAAGAAGAAGAAGGTTAAAATGATAAGATCATTCCGAAAGATTGGAAGGAAAAGGAGAGGGATAGGGTGGGACTGTAAGAAAAGAAATTGGAAATGTGAAGAAGACAAAGAAAGAAAAGAAAGAGATTATAAAAATGTTGAAGGAGAAGGAAAACAGAGGAGGAAGATGATTTTTTTAAAAGAATTAATTGGAAGCGATTTTATGAAAAAGAAACCATAAAGTAATAGAGAAAGCTAAGCAGAAGAACGAGAAGAAGAAAAGAAAAAGATCAAAAAGATTAAAAAACATAAAGAAGAATAGAAATGAAAGAAGAAAGAGAAAAGAAGAAAAAGAAAGAGAGAAAAAAGAAAACAAAAAATAAGAAGAAAGTAAAGTAAGGAAAGATGAATAAAACAGAGCAGAAAAAGGAAGAGAAAAAAGAGAAAGAAGAGTACAAAGGAAGGAAAAAGAAGAAGTGAGAGAGCGAGAGAGAGAGAGAGAGAGAGAGAGAGAGAGAGAGAGAGAGAGAGAGAGAGAGAGAAAAGAATGTAAAAAGAAGCTTAGAAAAAAAGAGTAGAAAGGAAAGAAAGTAGAAGAAGAAAAGAAGGTAAAAGCAAGATTAGAAAAAGAGAAAAGTGTAGGAAGAAAAGAAGAAGTTGAAGAAGAAAGAGAAGGAGAAGAAGAAGATGGTTATTAGGAAATATTTACAAGTTCAAAAGAGAGAAAAAAAGAAAAGCAATGACGATGTAGCGAAAAAGCAATAAATAAGAAAAAGTAAAAAGAAAAGATTTCACGTAAGCAAACAAGCAAACAATCTATAACCGAGACATTTCAGGCTTTCTGTCTGATGAACAACATTGCCTCTGGCAGACGACAATTTCCTTGACGTTTTTTGTCTCTGTTTTTCATCGCGCGACAAAATCCGAATTAGAAATATGAATTAATATGAAAATAAATAAATATTCTAAAATGAAATGTTTTTTGTTCAAACTGTCTGCAAGACAGGATCTCCATTGATAGATTTCTTATCTGAATTTTATAATCACATCGATCCTGAGGGCGGACATTAAAACCATCATTACTACTACTACTACGACATATGCATGGCTTTTCGTAATGGTATTAATGAGAGGTAAAAAGCAACAAAAAAGCAGAGAATAAATGATTTTAAATGTTATTAAACGGGACATGATTCATAATAGAAAAATCACGATATGACAGATGAAATAAGAAATTTGAAGTGCAAAAACTTTCGTTTCTTTATCATACTAATTAACATGGGGTGCCGGTAGCGTAGCGGTTATCATCGTAAAAATTGGAGTCGGCCTGTCGGGTTCAAATTCTGACTGAGTCTATTTTGTTCACTTTTCAGAAATACTCTTGGAAAAGGCATGAATCCATCGTTCTCCATCTATGCTTTAAATAGCTTGTCCTGGCTGGTAACCAGTCTAGGAGAAGGAAATCTCTGTAACCTTTAACCTTCTCTAGAAGAAAAACTGAGAATTCAAACCTCCGTAAATAATAGAGCAAAGTGGGCCCTTCAGCCCTGTTAAGGCAACACGTGGAGGAGAATGAAACCTCTGTAAATAATAGGACAGATTGGGGCATTTAGACCTGGTTAGACAACCAGTCTTGGAGAAGAAAAACTGTTATTGAAAATCAGCTTGACGAGGAATGAATTAACTATACAACACATATTATAGTATAGCTGCAATATACGAGGATAAGTAAAAAATTATCTACACTTTCGCCATAAGATATCTTTAGGTTTGTCCAACTGGTCACGTTAGCGAAATTTGACCAGTTTTCCTACTGCTGTTACAATGTAAACATGGTCGCTCTGTTAGCAGTGTGCAACAGGGAGAAACAAAGAGCAGTGATCCGAATCTGCAGAGAACCTGCTACTTCATCGATGATAGCACATCGGTTCGCCATTACTATCTCTCGCGCTTGCTGAATCTTCTCGTCACTGGTGGAGCTTGACGAGCGTCCTGCTCTTTCTTCACGCGTCACGCTTGTCTGGCCACTTCTAAACTTCTCGATCCGCTCATACATACTTTTAAGCGGTAGTGCACTGTCGCCATATTCTGTTAACAGCCTCCGATTAATTTCATCCCACCGACCCGAGAAATCGGATCACTGCGCTTTGTTCCTCCTTGGTGCACACTGCAAGCGGAGCGGTCATGTTTACACTGTAACGGCAGCGATAAAACTGGCACGATCATGCTCAAACTTCGATCACGTGACCGGAATAGTACCAACTATAAGCACGCATGAGCAGAAGGCTGTGTGATAAACCTAAAGATATCTTATGGTGAAAGTGCGGATAATTTTTTGACTTGGCCTCATATGTGGCGCTTTCATAAATTTCGGGACTCGTGGTCGGCATAAAATGGAGATACGAAATGGTGTAAGGATTGTCGGAATGAAATCGTCGAAAGAAGTTCGAATTCCGGCTGAGAAACTTAATGCTTAATTTATTCTCCGAAGAGAAGCATGAATTCATTATTCCTGCAGTTTGCCTTCCCGTTACTGATATGCCACACGCCCTCAGTTGCCAATGCAGTAATCTTATTGACAACTTCGTTAACATTTTTTTTTTCTGCATTAAAAATCATTTGGCTTTGCATGCAGAACCAAATTTTAAAAAAAAATCATTGGTCTAGTAACAGCCAGAAAATTGTCCTCAAGGAAACATGGCACAGTGGATAAAGGCGTTGGTTAGATCCAGTGACAAACACAAAGAGTGTGAGTTCAGGCAGGGGAGAACTTTCAGAGGGAAAATTAGCAGGAGATAACTGATAACTGACATCCATCAAACATGGCACGTGGAACTAGAACAGTCTACCCCAGTGATCGAAATAAAGGGTTCAGTTCGAAATTCCAACCACCTGAAGAAGGCCGGAGCGTACAACGGCCGAAACGTTATGACAAATATGGCGACAAAGATGAGGACAATAATCCGAATAATATAAATACTGCAGAAAATTGAAGTTTCTTCTAAGCCACGTTTACTGCTACTATTTTATTTCCCCTGCACCTCCTTTCTTACAAACGAAACGTTACTAACTCCTTACTGTCCTATCGATCCCCATTTTCATGACAAATATTAAAACAGACTATATTCTTTAGTTTCACCGACCACTACAATCGTAATCTTTTCAAGTCTAGGGTCAACCGTTATCTATTCTACATACCCATATACTATTCACCTCCCTGTACGTCCTTAAAAAACTTATTCAGTAACCCTCTACCTTGAGTAGCTCTTGGACCTTGTATTAAATGAATAATAATATAAAAATAATTATTTTCCTGGATAATTATAATTTCTAACTTTATCTCATCGTCAGAATACAAATCAATCGTGTTTTTCGTTAACAGTGAATTGGGCCGTTTCAATCACCCCGCCTCCCAGTAACCCGAATTCTTTCAGTTTTACATCAATGATCTTTGGAGCATTTTTACAGAGTGTTCCAATAATAGAAGGAAATTGAGTACCTGTTGTGGCCTTGTTAGGGGCCAGAAATAAAGACACAAAGAGAGGAATTGAGCTAAACAAATATATTAACAGAAACAGTAATACAAACATATACAAACGAGAGTGTTACTGCAAGAATGTTCGGTCCGGCTGACTGCTGGAAATTTCCCACTCTAAAAGGCAGTACCTGCTCCTATTTATAGCTGGGAGAGTCCATGCGTGCGTGGGTAAATTACCATAACGGTACCCTCTTATTCAGCAATGTTCGTATCTTGTAATCCTGTTTGTTCCATAGTTTGCACATAGGTTACGTCCTGCTAATATCTCAGACAAATAATGGACTAGTCCGTTTTGACCGCAACGAAAGACTGAAAAGAAAGACCAGAGATGCTGTTTGGTTTCAGTGAGAAAAAGAATCCAGGAATTAGTCTTAAAGTCTGGATTGAGCTATCTGTTTAAAATCTTAACGCTTCAGGAGATAATGTGGATTTCCTTCTCAATGTGTTCAAGATTCTTCTGTTTGCATTGTTCTTAGGGGATCATTTTCCTCATTCAAGTATATTGTGTCAACATTTGTCTTTTTTTATCTTAACTGATTTTCGGGGCATTGTCTTAAACCGCTATTAAGAGCAAATCAGTTTCTTTCTTCATGTTTCCTCTGTCTAACAATGTCCGGGTTGATTCCATCGTCATTCCATTGATATTTTTTTACTAAAATGGCCATATAATCTTTTTCTTTAACATTTTATGTTACGTTTCTCCCTGTTTACCACCCTTCTTCTTGCCTTTAGTATACCCAGCCTTCCTTTCTCATTAGGAATTTCTAGTCCCTTTTTATTATTTTAAGTGTGAACGTTCTTTTGTTTCCATCTTCCATAACACATCTTCGTTGCTTGTATGCTCTGTACATAGTACTATCATCAGTGTCCTGTGGAACGACATCTCTTTTGCCTCAAGATCCCACTTCCTCTGCGTGGAGATTTTCCAGCATTTAATGCCAAGTAGGAGGATTTCTATCACATAGTAGTACAACACTCGTTTCTTTGTTTCGTGCTAAATTTTTCTGTTTTTTCCAAATTTCCAATGCTTTCGTTATGTCACATATCTTGAGATTTTTAACATCTTCATGAAATTCTATGTTCCACGGATATAGGAATCTATTGTAAGCGTGTTTTAAGAGTAACTACCTAAGGGCTAGATTATTATTATTATTATTATTATTATTATTATTATTATTATTTCCTTTGATTTCTCTTGTAAAAAAACATTTCTTTCCGGGTCCCAACCAGAGACCTAAAGGTCGGAAATAGCCTCATTACTTTTTCCTACTGATCCTTTTTTTCTTTTAAAAAAACCAAAACCATGACTACCCATATTTTACATAAATAAAGCCCCTCGCAATGTGTGAGCTGTACTTGTGAGTACAATTTTTAGTATTTCGTTAAGGCATGGGCTACCAGGAATCCCTTCAACGAGTCTTTCGGGATGTTTTCCAATCGATATGAGGGCTCCAACTACAACTAGAGTTATTGATGTTCTTATGTATCACATTTCTTTTTTTAGATTTCCACTTCAAAATTCTTGTATCTTTTTGAAGATCTTCAAAGATACATTACAATCTACAGGAACTGTCAATGCCAATAAGAAAGCACATTCTGTTCTTGTGGTCTTTGATCACGATGAGATGTGATTGTTCTCTCTGGGTGTATTGTAAAGTTCAATAAAATGTTTATAGGTCCTATGCCTGTGACAGGGTCTGGGTGATGTTCATACCAGTTTCTTGTAGCTTCCTTCCCGTTGATCACGCCAGATAATGCGCTCTTTCGAAGAAAGTGTAACTAAGGTTCACTCAGCACAGTTGCAGCATAAACCACAGGTGAGCTCTGTAGGTGTTGAACAAACAGAAATGTGCCTGGGCAGGCGTCTGCAGTAAGGATTGCCTAGCCGCTCTAGTAGCCAGACACACTTAGATACTAGCGGACAGTCATTATAATACCAGTTTTATTGTGAAAACGTTGACTTAAATCATACATTTTTCCATCGTATACAACAATACACTTTCAGCAATTTATCTTTTTATCACAATAATAATAATAATAATAATAATAATAATAATAATAATAATAACCATCGAGATAAAAAAAAAAAAAAAAAAAAAATTAACATGAAATGTGGCCATAACAACACACCAACCTGATGTAGGTCTTTCCGCAGACTTGGTAGGTAGTGTGTCCATAGCAGAAATCGAATGATAATAATAATAATAACCAAACCTGATGTAGACAAAACCCGTAGCCATCAGTGGCTACGTAGTGCAGGGTTGAAAGCGGAAACTGAAGGTTTTATCCTTGCTGCGCAGGATCAGTGCTTGTTAACTAGAAATTATCAAGAACCCATATTAAAATATAGGGTTAGCCCAAAATGCAGCTTCTGTGATAATTACCCAGAAACAATCGATCATCTTGTATCAGGTTGCCCGGTATTGGCACCTACTGAATATAAAACCCGGCATGACAGAGTGGGCCAATATCTGCACTGGAAAATCTGTAATTTCTACGGGAAGGAAACTGAAAGGAAGTGGTATGAACACCACCCAGACCCGGTTACGGAGATAGGACCTGTAACAATTCTATGGGACTACACAATACACACAGACAGAACAATCAAAACTAACCACCCAGACATTGTTATTAGAGATCGCACACAAAAAAGGTGCCTCCTTATTTATATGGCAGTCCCTGCAGACTGCAATGTATCTTTGAAGATCTTCAAAATGTTATCAAAATACAAGGACCTTGAAATCGAAATCTCAAAAATGTGGCACATGGGAACATCAACAATCCCCGTTGTAGTTGGAGCCCTCGGATTGGTTGGAAAAGATTCCTGTAGACTAATTGAAGGGATTCCGGGAAGTTCATGCCTTAAAGAAATACAAAAAAATTGTTCTCACGAGTACACCCCACACCTTACGAAAGGCTTTATCTATGTAAAATATTTCTTTTTCCAGTGGAAAATGTCATGATGCTATTTCTAACCTTAGGTCCCTGGGCAGGATCCGGAAAGAAATGAGTACACATCAGAAATTAAAGGAAATAATAATAATAATAATAATAATGGACGTGTCGAAGAAGGGATTGATGTCAAGAAAGGCAGGAATTACATCCGTTTTTCAAAGAAACCATTCTTTCGTTCGTGTTAATTGTAGTTTCTTTTAATTTCCCGCTACTTTTAATCGGCGTTGCCTAAAATACATTATGCAAGTGCAGCAGCTGGTGCGAAGCTGATATTTTGATTTGGGAGTCGAAGAGGGAGTGGCATGTTCTCTCCACACCCCACTCTAGTCCAGCATCCTTAGTGCTTAGCAAAATAAAGTGCAATAGATAACTTGATAATCGGCTAAGTTAATCAAGGCAATTAGCATAATTAATTAAATGATTAACTAATCAGTGAATTAACGAAGGGATGACAGGCTTTAATCAGGGACGGAATGCGGGGGGGGGATTGAGTGTAGGTTGGATCAGAAAAGCAAAAACGGAAGTTAGATTTTCGGGAAACGTGTTTCGTCCGTGCTAACAATTAATGGTCTCTGCGTGCAGGTGACGAAATTTAGGTACCATTCATCAGATAAATCATTTTATAGACTTTTTGTGTTTGGTGAATTAATCTTTTATGTACTGCTTCCTTTTCGGACGTCTGTGGTCATGAGTCTCTACAACTTCCTATTCTTTGTAGGCTAAGTATTTTTTTTACTACCCCATCCCAATCGGTGTTCTTACACAAGCTTGTTAGATAGTCTATCATCTGTTTCCTTCTTTTCCACTTGCTTTCGGTGTGTCTTGTGAGTGTTAAATAAAGTCTTCTTTCCTCATTATGGGTCCTAGAAACTGATTCTTTCTTATTATAAATATAAGCGTCCTTTTTATTTTTCTATACCTGTTCTGTCATTCACCTACACAAGTTAGTTAAGTAGGTTATTAGCAGTTTTCCTTTATCATTCGGGCCTTTAGTCTGTACTGTAAGTGTCAGATTCTCCAAACCTCCTTTCTCCATTGTAATTCTTAGTAATTTCAATTCTCTCCTTCTGATTCTAAGTATCGGCGTTTTTTCGTTTTCATTTCCTTAAAACTTCCTCGTTGCTCACATATTCCGTCCTTGGTATTCTCAGCATCCTTCTGTAGAACCACATTTCTGTTGCCTTCAACCTTGAGGTAATTGTCCCGCAATCATTGCCAAATAGGAGGAATGATATTAAATAGCAGTTCAGCACTCGTTTCTTTGATTCTAAGGAAATTTTCTAGTTTCTTAATACTTTGCTTAGCTTTTCGAAGGCATCGTTTTCATTTTTCTACGTAACTTCGGATTTCAGTGTGACATTTTCAGTCATATTTTAAAACATTTTCTCTTCACTCTTCAATATGGCGTCTCCAATTCGTAGCTCGCATCTTGGATTGTCTCCATTTCCTACCGGGCATTACAATTAATAGTTAGTCCATTCTTCCCGCCAACAAGTAAAAAAAGGGGGGGGCGCATTTCGCAAAGATTAATAATCTTTATCATTATAGTTCGCAAAACAAGCAAATTCTTATGAACTCATGTCTTCACATTAAAATATCCATTTACAAGAGCCAGAGCAAATGGGGGATTGTTGCAATATCTGGAGCTGCTCAATCTTCCCTTTCTATTTACATTGTTCCGACTGTTCTCCTCATCTTTAATGACGATGAAGTAGTTACAATACCTTATCTCAGAAACATAGATCCTGAAGAAAGCAGGACCGTACAACGGCCGAAACGTTGTGAATGTGATGATAAAGATGAGGACAACAGTCCGAACAATGTAAATAGTTACAAGGCCTCATCTCAGAAACATAGATCCCGAAGAAGGCCGGAGCGTTCAACGGCCGAGACGTCGTGAATATGGCAATAAAGACGAGGACAACAGTCCAAACAATGTAAATCGTGTAGTTACAAGACCTCATCCCAGAAACATAGATCCTGAAGAAGGCCAGAGCTTTCAACGGCCGAAACGTCGTGAATATGGCAATAAAGATGGGGACAACAGTCCAAACAATGTAAATCGTGTAGTTACAAGACCTCATCTCAGAAACATAGATCCTGAAGAAGGCAGGAGCGAACAACAGCCGAATCATCGTGAATGTGATGATAAAGATGAGGACAGCAATCCGAACAATGTAAATAGTGTAAATAGTTACAATACCTCATCTCAGTAACATAGATCCTGAAGAAGGGCGGAGCGTACAACGGCCGAATCGTCGTGGATATGATAATAAAGCTGATGACAGTCCGAACAATGTAAATAGTGTAAATAGTTACAATAACCCATCTCAGATATATAGACAGAAATAGTTGTAAATAAATAAAAAGATACCAGTAAGATACTGTATACGATTTCAGAGCACGAACGGTCACGGCTCTCCACAGTTTCTTTTTTTCTTATCTTGTTTTATCTACTATTAAGCAGATCTCAAGTCTATGTTGGATATTGTGTTTGCTAATATTCATTTTTAATAAAACAAAAACCGGAACAAGATTTTTTTAAATAATAGTTTATTTACAAATTTGGTGTGTGAATTTACACAAAAGCGACTTATACACGCGTGTGTGACCGTCGATTTTGGAATAAAAAAATTTTTCAAGTGAGGCGTTGCACCCCACGCTTTGATTATAATTGCTGATCAATGGAGGAAAAGTCGCTGAAATAAATAATAGAATTGGAACTAAGTTGTGATATCTTTTTTCTTTCATTTTTTTTTTTTTGATCAGAAAGAATTCGTCAGACTTATCAGTTTCAGAACGACCCTCTGATAAATTTCTCGTGAGGGAAAGAGGCGACATCTTATGACCAACAGTATGCAGTGATAACGCAACGAAAATTGTGACGTGGCAATCTTGCTTGGTTGTCACTTCTTCTGATGACGTTTTCTACATGAAATGCCAGTGGAAGTGTGTGAAAGAAGAAAGAAAAAGTAACTGAATGGATTAAATCGAGAAAGAGAGAGAGAGAGAGAGAGAGAGAGAGAGAGAGAGAGAGAGGCAGCGTATGGAAGGTGCAAGAAGAAGAGAAAAAAAAAGCTACGTTAAAATGGGTAACGAAAGATGGATAGAAGGAAGGAAAGAAAGAAAGGAAGAAAGAAGGGAGCCAAATTTCAACTTTTTGAAGAGTTTGGCCTTATGATTCATTTATCATTCCTGTAAATGCAGGACGAACTAGGAGCTGGATTCTTGTATATATAAAAACTTAGGGAAAGAAATATCAAAAAAAAAAGAAAAATATTGCATTTTTTAAAAATAAGTATTAGCTATTTTAATCATTAAGTTGTTTTAAAAATAGCATGAGTATTTTGTATGTTATTGTACTAATCTATGCACCCTAGTAAAACCAATTGTACTTTGTACCCCCTTACCTGTTTGGACTTCTCCCTAAAATCTGGTTTCGATCGGTCAATGTATGGTTATTTTAGAGGGTGGGAAAGACGGATGGACTAACAGAAATCACAGAATTTTATAGATAGATAGATAGATAGATAGATAGATAAAAACAGACTTAGATAGGTATGAAAAGAATATGGTATAAAGATATGAACAGGCTCAGATAGATAGATAAAAACAGAGTGAGATAGATAGATAGATAGATAGATAGATAGATAGATAGATAGATAGATACATAGATACATAGATAGATAGATACATAGATAGATAATAACAGACTTAGGTGTGAAAAGAATATAGTATAAGGATATGAACAGGCTCAGATAGATAGATAAAAACAGACTGAGATAGATAGATAGAGAGATAGATAGATAGATAAAAACAGTCTGAGATAGATAGATAGATAAAAACAGACTGAGATAGATTATGAGATGAATTACATTGCTGAGAAGAAGAGAAAAAAAAGTCACGTTAAAATGGGTAACGAAAGATGGATAGAAGGAAAGAAAAAAAAAAGGGAAGAGAACAGACGAATCAAGCAATGGAAGAGAAATAAATAATAATTAGGAGAAAAAGATTTAGAAAGTCTAGATAAGTACAGGTAAACAAAACTAATGAATAAAAAGTGGGAAAAAAAAAAGATTTAAAAAAAAATGTATACCGAGTCGGGACGACACTTTAAAGTTGTTACCGGTGGATATAAAGAAAGACAGAGAAGGAAAGACTTAAAAAAATAAAGGAAAAAAAAAAAAAAAAAAGAGCAAATCAAAAGAAGAAAGATAATGCCACTCGGAAGAGATTGATAAACAAGAAAAAGAATCGACAACTCTTTGAATTGTTAAGTAAATACAAGGCAAGTAAATACAAGGCAAGTAAATACAAGCCGTAATGGTTAGCGGCACGGATTGAGGAATCGGAGAGCCGAGTTCGAATTCCTCTCAAATCCATTACATTCACTTACGTGCTAATACCCTTGGGAAATGGTATGAATCCTCTTCTCCCCCAGCTACGTGTTCTATAGCTTTGGAAGGTAACCTACTGCCTCATCAGTCATGTATCGAAAGATACAAGATCGCCTAAGCGTTTATCGCGCATGACATATAACAGACTTATATTCACTTACGTGCTAATACTCTTGGGAAAAGGTATAGGCAGTAATACTATTTCCATACTATAACATTTTGTACTTTCTGCAATAATAAAGATCACTTTTTAGGAGGCACGGTTGTGTAATGGATAGCGGCTCGGATTAAGGAATCGGAGAGCCGAGTTCAAATTCCAATCGAATCCATTACGTTCACTTGCATTCTAATACCCTTGGGAAAGGTATGAATACTCTTCTACCACCAGCTATGGGAAAATAGCAGAACAGACTGGGTTCTACAGCCTTTGATGCCAACTGGTCTACTGCAGAAAGAAATGGCAACCTACTGCGGGAAAAAATCTGCCTCGAAAGGTACATGTATCAGGCATGGCACATGACTGACTGATGTTATGCCGGTTTATCATGTTCAGAAACGATATTCCAGTCAGCAAATTTGATGATAAAAAAGGCTATTTAATAAATTTAATCTAAATTTAAAAATATATGCGGACATTTCAGAACAAAACAAATATTCTGTACCTAGATCTAAGCAATCAAGTTTATAAGACTTCGTTTGTAAAATGTTGCAAAAATTTAATTTGAAATAAACAATATCATTTCTTTTAAGACATTTTTATGTTTATACATTCTTTTTATAGATAAAAATGTCTTAAAATAATTGTCGGATTTTCTCCTTTTCATAATGTGTGACGTCATTTGTTTACATTTGGATACGCTTTGAGCAGATATGAATGTACGTGAGAGATTCATGGAAGATTGAAGTTTAAAAGCAGTAAAATCGACTTTGCTAACCGAACGATTCGCTGTGGCTCGATCGGTTAAGAGCACATCAGGTTATATTGATGGTTCCGTATAAGATACAGGTTCGATTTCTGTCGGAGAACGAATATTTTCTATGAAAATTTCTCGGACATTCAGACCGGCAAATGTTATTAATACTGTTTATTATGAAACAGAGCACTTACTGAAATATTTGCATCTATAAAAAGAACGTATAGACATACTTTTTTTATGTTTATACGTTCTTTTTATAGATGCAAATATATCTTTATATATATATATATATATATTATTTATTTATTATAAACAGAGCATTTACTTAAATATTTGTATCTATAAAAAGAATGTATAAACATAAAAAATGTCTTAAAATAATTGTCGGACTTTGTAATATCATTTCTCTAAATTGTTCTTCACTTTGACGGAACATTTTCAATATTATCATATTCAAACTAAGTTAAATGCATGTTATTAGTGTTTATTTAATCTAAAAACCATAGATCGATACACACGTCAATGGGAGTAAATATCAGACAGGAGTACATAAGGAAAAATCAGAATTAAAGAAACAGTCACTATCTAGACGTGAAAACGTATTCCTCACGAGTATATCGAGAAATCGTAAATAAAGGAATGGCCTGTGAAGACAGGAATTGTTATATCACACGGGTATATCGAGGAATTGGAAAGAAAGAAATATTCTAAGACAACACAGGAATTCGTATCTCACCCAGGTATATCGAATAATTGGAAATAAAGTAATAACTCGTAACGAGACATGACAGTTTTCCCAGTACAAATATTGAGAACGTAAAAAAGATTGTTCAGTTTATTGAGTGAAAGCAGACGACAATAAAGGCAAGAAAAAAGTGATAACTTGAAGAAGCAGAGACATATGGAAAATTATTGACGAAAAAGAAAAAAAAAATTGGTGTACGATTTCTTAAGCGACGAGCCTTTTGATTAACCATTATCAAAGAGGTTGAAGCTTTTCTCCCTTTTCAGGATATTTTAACGGAAAAAGTTAATTCTGGTTTTGTTATCAGTATCTAGGGCAAAGCTGTCTACATGTGTTGGAATTCTTTTAGTCACAGACAAAGGAAAATTAATATTATTGGCTCTTTAGTCAATCGTGTCTTAATGATAAAGATTATTCTCATTTGGACTGGATCAAGTTTCATCTTCCAAGTAATGGCTACCCTTAAGATTTGTTGATACTTTTATCGGAAAGAAATCTTTTCTTTATTCCATTAGTGAAATGTTTGGACCAGCTAAAGGCACCGTGTATCTAGAACTGTCTTGGATGGCTAATATCTGCCTTCAGTTTTCTCAACAAATTACCGACTGTGTTACTCATTGCATTACGGCAGTGAATGTTCTGCCGTTTATTATTTTATGTGGCCACGTTTCTTTGGTTAAATTGGGTGCACCTCAAAGAGATTGGAATTTAGGATTAAACAGCATTTTCCATTTGCGATTAGGAATGGTCAGTCACGTCGTACGACAATGTTGGCACATATACAGAAGGTCTTGGATTCAAAGATTGAAAAGAATCTCAGAAATAACTTGAAAATTCAAAGTTAATAACAACAATGGAAAAAGTTGGTGTTTTCTCCTCTTCCAGGAAGTTTTGGTGGAAAAGGCATTTTCTGTAAGCTTTCTTCTCAGTTGGATTTTATCATTTCTCATCTTGTAAGTGATCTCTCACTGTCAGATTTAGTGGTTAAATTTATTAAAAAGAAAGTTTTTCTTCCATTGATAAAATGTTTGGACCACGTAAAAGTCCTGTGTATCTAAAATTGGTTCCCCTGGTTAACGTCTGCGTCCAGTTGTTTAAACAGATTATGTTCTTTGTTGATTTCTGGCAGTGAATACAAGAATCGAGTTTAACATAATGAAGATTTTTTCTTCATTAAATAAGATACAATTTCGTTCAATCATAAAAGTTATATCGTTTAATCTCTTAGGTGCTAGTATTTGTCTGATAACATTGGGTAGACATCGAAGGTATTGGCTTGTAGGATCAGGAATGGTCATTTTGCGTATCACAAAAAACTTCAAATAAAAGTAAGGATTTAACAAAATATACCATAAGTTTTGAACAGCCTGGGTAAACTAGTATATTTATATATTTAAAGACTCACATGTGAAAACCTAATAATAGTAAGGACTTAACAAAATATGCCATCATTTTGGACGGCCTGGGTAAACTAGTATATTTATATATTTAAAGACTCACATGTGAAAACCTAATAATAGTAAGGACTAAACAAAATATGCCATCATTTTGGACGGCCTGGGTAAACTAGTATATTTATATATTTAAAGACTCACATGTGAAAACCTAATAATAGTAAGGACTGAACAAAATATGCCATCATTTTGGACGGTCTGGGTAAACTAGTATATTTATATATTTAAAGACTCACATGTGAAAACCTTTTAATAATAATAAGGACGAAACAAAATATGCCATCATTTTGGACGGCCTGGGTAAATTAGTATATTTATATATTTAAAGACTTACATGTAAAAATCTTCTAATAATAGTAAGGACTGAACAAAATATGCCACCATTTTGGATGGCATGGGTAAACTAGTATATTTATATATTTAAAGACTCACATCTAAAAGACTTCTAATAATGGTAAGGACTTAACAAAATATGCCATCATTTTGGACGGCCTGGGTAAACTATCAGGTCATCTCATAAGTTCTGTCCGAATTTTGAATAAAGAAAACAAGTGACCAAATGTTAGATTTAATTACAGATTCAATCAAAAATGTATTTTCCCTGATTATCTATGACTTCCTTCCATCTATTAACAAGCTTACTAATTCCATTACTGCAAAATTCTTTTGGCTTTCATTCGAAGAACTCACAAATGTCAGTTTTAACCTCTTCCTGTGTTACAAAAGCTGTTTCTTCCAAATGATTCTGTAAGCTACGAAACAAATGGTATTCTGAAGGAGTAAGATCGGGAGAATAAGGTGGATGAGGAATTTTCTCCCAACCAAGTTCTTCGATCTTTTTTGACGTGATTCTTGCTGTGTGGGGGTTGCGCATTGTCCTGATGAAACATCACATCTTTTCGATTCACTAGAGCAGGTCTTTTTTCCTCAAAGCTTGTTTCAAACGCTCTAATTGCTGACAGTATATTTGAGCATTAATTGTTGCATTAGGTGGTAAGAATTCAAAGTGGATTATAATTTGGCGATCCCACCAGATTGAAAGAACCTTTTGCCCATGAAGTTTCCTTCTCGGCTGTGACTGGGGTCCTTCCCCTTTACCAAGCCACTGTCTACGACGCTTAACATTTCGATAAAAGATCCATTTTTCGTCGCCAGTCACAAGTCTATCCAAAAAAGGTGAAACAAGTTGGTGAGAATGGAGAGAAAAGCAGATGCCAACTCGGGATTCGAGGTTGTTTTCAGAATATTCATGAGGCACCCATTTTCCAAGTTTTGGAACTTTTCCAAGTTGTTGAAGATGACGAAGAACAGTTTTATGGTTTGAACTGAGAACCACTGCCAATTCTTCAACTGATAAAGCAGGATTTTCTTCAAGAGCTGCTTCAAGAAGCTTTTCATCAAACTCAACTGGACGTCCGGTTCGATCTTCATCTTCAAGGGGAAATCTCCACCTCTGAATTTTGCAAACCATCTTCTGCAAGTTCTTTCATTCACATTCCTCTCCATAAACTGAGTGAATGTTTCTAGTCCTTCGGCTGCTGAGTTTCCTTTCTTGAACTCATAAAGCATTATGTGCCTCAAATGATTCTTGGGTACTTCCATGTTAGCAGGGTTTTAATCAAACAAAATTTAATTTTATTGTTCTCTGAAATAAAATTTGATCAGTTTAAATGCATCTAAACATAAAAATAATGTTCAGCTCCATTAGACATTATAAAATACTTTTTAAATTTCATTCATTTTAACAAAAAGTTAAAATTCGAACAAAACTTATGGGATGACCTGATAGTATATTTATATAGTTAAAGAATCACACGTGAAAACCTTCTAATAATAGTAAGGACTGAAAATAATATGCAATCATTTTGGGCGGCCTGGGTAAACTTGTATATTTATATATTTAAAGACTCACACTTCAGATTTTCTTTCATATCCAACCAACACTTGCAAAACCAAACGGTCATAGGGAATGGACGACAGGAGCAGGTTTTGATGAAACTAAAAGATTCTAGTCCTGAACCTCCACGTTGGCGTCGAATTTAGGGGTTATGAGTTCAATCCCTGAATCAGGCGACGTTTACTTGCACTCAATGGAAACTGGACAATACTAAATAAAATAAGAATAAGGAGATATCCTTAGATATGAGCAGTGGAATGAGAGAAATCTAACCCGTAGATTAAATAAAGGGTTCAGTCCAGAATTAGGGTTAGGTTACCCAGGTCGATATACACCTGAGGAAGGCCGGACGCCACAACAACCGAAATGTTGTGATAACGTTAATAAAAACAATGATTAGGACAATAGTGTAAATATTTATAACAGGCTCTAGGACAGTTGCGCACTGGACATTTGCGCCCCGGACAACTCCGTTCCTGGACATTTACCTGGACTCCCGTTCCTGGACATTTGCGCCCCGGACAACTCCGTACCTGGACATTTGCGCCCCGGACAACTCCGTACCTGGACATTTGCGCCCCGGACAACTCCGTACCTGGACATTTGCGCCCCTGGACAACTCCTGGACATTTGCGCCCCGACAACTCCGTTCCTGGACATTTGCGCCCCGGACAACTCCGTTCCTGGACATTTGCGTCCCCCTCCACCCTGGACATTTGCGCCCCGGACTCCGTGCCTGGACATTTGCGCCCCGGACAACCGGTACCTGACATATTTGCGCCCCGGACAACTCCGTACCTGGACATTTGCGCCCCGGACAACTCCGTACCTGGACATTTGCGTCCCGGACAACTCCGTACCTGGACATTTGCGCCCCGGACAACTCCGTACCTGGACATTTGCGCCCCGGACAACTCCGTACCTGGATATTTGCGTCCCGGACCTCCGTACCCTGGACCTGAACATTTGCGCCCCGGACAACTCCGTACTTGGACATTTGCGCCCCGGACAACTCCGTACCGATATTTACAACTGGACATTTGCGCCCCGACAACTCCTACCTGGACATTTGACAACTCCGTACCTGGACATTTGACAACTCCGTCCTGGACACGTCCCGGACAACTCCGTACCTGGACATTTGCGCCCCCAGACACTCCGTACCGTGCCCCAGACCTGGACATTTGCGCCCCGGACAACTTACCTGGACATTTGCACCCCGGACAACTCCGTACCTGGACATTTGCGCCCCGGACAACTCCGTACCTGGACATTTGACAACTCCGTACCTGGACATTTGCGCCCCGGACAACTCCGTACCTGGACATTTGCGTCTCCGGACAACCCCCGGACAACTCCGTGCCTGGACATTTGTCCCAGGCGTACCTGGACACAACAACATTTCCGTACCTGGACATTTTCCCGGACAACTCCGTACCTGGGACGTCCCAGACAACTCCGTACCTGGACATTTGCGCCCCGGACAACTCCTGGACATTTGCCTGGACATTGGACGCCCCGGACAATTACGTACCTGGACATTTGAGCCCGGACAACTTTGTACCCGTGGACAACTGCGCCCCGGACAACTCCGTACCTGGACATTTGCGTCCCGGATAACCTGCGTACCAGAAAATTCCGTACCTGGACATTTGCGTCCCGGTAACTGCGTACCAGAAAATTGCGTACCTGGACATTTGCGCCACGGTTAACTGCGTACCAGAAAATTGCGTACCTGGGCATTTGCGCCCCGGGCAACTACGTACCAGAAAATTGCTACCTGGACATTTGAGTCCCGAGACAAATGCGTCCCTGGATAATTGCGTACATCTGATAATTTTTTGAATTTTTTTTTTACCATAAACTCTGAAAAAAACATAGGTGGTAATCTTAATTTTTTTAAAAAAGAAGGAATGGAAAAAAAAGAAGTTTATTTTGGTTTAAAATGCAATGACATATTAACAGTATTGCAAGATCCCTTTACACATCGCTAGTATGTTTTTGTTTCATCGCCGTTTTTCGTATGATAGTCGTAGCTGTAATATTCCTCGTCCACAAATATTTTTCTACCAGTGTTTGATTTTCGGAACTTAGCCATGGGTTCCAAATATAAACATAATCTATAAAATCCAGGATCTATTAGATGTTTGTGGACAAACTAATAGCTTAATTTTCTGAAACTAAATAGCTTAATTTTCTCTTGTTTTAAAAAATAAATTTCTCTCTCTTTTTTTTTTTTAAATTTATGGTAACGACCTTTCTACTTGTTCAGAGTAATTAAAGGTATTGGTGTGCAAATATCTATATCAAACAACTCTTAAAGAAAAAGTGGTAACTTAAAAAATTATCAGAGGTACGTAAATATCCAGGGACGCAAATGTCCGGGACGCAAATGTTCAATTGGCAACTGTCTGTTCACCGTTTGTAACTCGTCATCCCAGAAATTCAGACATGAATTAAATGGCTATTATAACTTACAATGAAGGCGATAAAGGTACTAAGACGCAAGGAAACTGAAGAAACTTTACTGAGGAGAAATGAGAAGAAAAAGAACAGGATTCTAAGAGACACAAGATGGCAATTAACGTCGCATTTAAATTGTTGAGAAAAGCAGAAAACTGGAGGAGAGTTCAACAGGCGAGGGGTGCGAAAGAAGAAACTCTTAAAATAGAACTTACGGTTACATTTAGTTATTTCAAAACTAAAATGATGAGACCTAGCCGCCACTCTAGTACTGCACTTATATTTGCGGTGTCGAGGTACCAAAAAGGAAAGCCCATCAGAATAATCCCCACGAAAAATATTTATAGAAAAGACAGAGGGAAACTATGTTACGCTAGTGCGAAAGTGATTGAAGCCGAGATGTAAGGCCAGGACTGATAAGGTTGCAGATTTTAAGCAGTTGACGTGATAATATCATGGTCTTTGTTGTTATCATCTCAGAATTATTTTGTCTTTATTTGTTAATGCTCAGTTATGCAGACAACAATAAATGCTGTTAAAATATGGCGGTTGTGTGTCTATTTTGATTACCTCTGAGCATTTGTAACAAAAGGTTTCAAGAACCTTTTCAATCCTAATTATATTAGAATAACGAATGTCTTATTTTTTTCAAATAGTATTATTTTATTTATATATTATTATATATTATTGTTATATAATATTATTATATATTATTTTTATATATTATTTTATATATTATTATATATTATTATATATTATTATTATATATTATTCTAATATTAATAATATATTAATCTTATATATTATTCTTATATATTATTATTATATATTATTATTATATATTATTATAATATATTATTATTATTATATATTATTGTATATTATTAATATATATTATTATTATATATTATTCTCATATATTGTCATTATATATTAATCTTATATATTATTCATATATATTATTCTTATATATTATTATTATATATTAATCTTATATATTATTTTTTACTTATTATTATTTATATTATTATTATTATATATTATTCTTATATATTATTCTTATATATTGTCATTATATATTAATCTTATATATTATGCTTATATATTATTTTGTATGTTATTTTTATATACTATTATTATATAATATTATTATTATATATTATTATTATATATTATTCTTATATATTGTCATTATATATTATTCTTATACATTATTATTATATATTATTCTTATATATTATTCTTATATATTATTCTTATATATTATTATATATTAATCTTATATATTATTTTTATATATTATTATTATATATTATTATTATTATATATTATTCTTATATATAATTCTTATATATTGTCATTATATATTAATCTTATATATTATTCTTATATATTATTTTTATATATTATTATTATATATTATAATTATTATATATTATTATATATTATTCTTATATATTGTCATTATATATTAATCTTATATATTATTCTTATATATTATATATTATTATAATATATTAATCTTATATATTAATATTATATATTATTATTATATATTATTCTTATATATTATTATATATATTATTATTATATATTATTATATATTATTATTATATATTATTCTTATATATTATTATTATATATTAATCTTATATATTATTCTTATATATTATTCTTATATATTGTCATTATATATTAATCTTATATATTATTCTTATATATAATTATTATATATTAATCTTATATATTATTCTTATATATTATTATATATTAATCTTATATATTATTTTATATATTATTATTTATATATTATTATATATATTATTATTATATATTATTCTTATATATTGTCATTATATATTATTCTTATACATTATTCTTATATATCATTCTTATATATTATTCTTATATATTGTTATTATATATTAATCTTATATATTATTCTTATATATTCTTATATATTATTCTTATATATTGTCGTTACATATTAATCTTATATATTATTCTTATATATTCTTATATATTATTCTTATATATTGTCGTTACATATTAATCTTATATATTATTCTTATATATTATTGTTATATATTTTTATTATATATTATTCTTATATATTATTATTATATATTAATCTCATATATTATTATTATATATTATTATTATATATTATTATTATATATTATTATTATATATTATTCTCATATATTGTCATTATATATTAATCTTATATATTATTATTATATATTATTCTTATATATTAATCTTATATATTATTCTTATATATTATTCTTATATATTATTATATATTATTTTTATATATTATTTCTTATATATTGTCATTACATATTAATCTCATATATTATTCTTATATATTATTCTTATATATTGTTATTATATATTAATCTTATATATTATTCTTATATATTATTATTATATATTATTTTATATATTATTCTTATATATTGTCATTACATATTAATCTTATATATTATTCTTTATATTATTATTATATATTTTTATTATATATTATTCTTATATATTATTATTATATATTAATCTTATATATTATTTCTATATATTATTATTATATATTATTATTATTATATATTATTCTTATATATTGACATTATATATTAATCTTATATATTATTATTATATATTGTTATTATATATTAATTTTATATATTATTATTATATATTATTCTTATATATTATTCTTATATATTATTCTTACTTAATTTTATCTAAAAATCTCGGGATAGTCATCAGCATTGAAGAGTTCCTCTTTTTTGTACTTAATTGTATTGACGGCAGAAAAAGCCTAATTTACATAAATATGAAACAGACAGCTACTGCAATATAATCTATATCTATAATTTTCAAAATGTGTGTGTGTGTACGGATGTGTGTGTGTGTGTGTGTGTGTGTGTGTGTGTGTGATCGGATGTTGTTTATTCATTTCCAGTTTTCATCCGATTTTGATTAATTTTTTTTGTTTGATAGATAAATCTTCAGTGCCGGTTTCTGAGTCCAAATTGTTGTCGACAATGGCTCTCCACTACTTCCTGTCCATTATAACTCTCAACAATATTTTACTATTTACTATCTGTTCTTGGATATATATCTGTCATAAAAACTTTAATAAAAATAAATAGTTTAAATTATTACAATAATATTATTTAATATTATAAAGTTAAATTTATATAATTAATTATATCTATAAATATAATTCTCAAAATGTGTGTATGTATGTATATGTATGTATATGTATGTGCATGTGTATGTATGTGTGTGTGTGATCGAATGTTGCTTATGCATTTCTACTGTTTTCATCCGATTTTGATGATTTTTTTTGTTTGATAGATAATTCTTCAGTGCCAGTTTTGAATCCAAATTATTGGCGACAATGGCTCTCCACTACTTCCTGTCCAATATAACTCTCAGCAACATTTTACTGTTTACTCTCTATTCTTGGATATATATCTTTCATAAAAACTTTAATAAAAATAAATAGTTTAAATTATTACAATAATATTATTTATTATTATACAGTTCCCTTATCAGGGCCATCCCCCCCGTTCAAATTGTTACCCCCCCCCATTTGGGGATCTGCCTCACTTGCACCCAAATGTTGTTACTAATACTGATTTCCGGGTGGGTTGACTTTAAACTTAAACTGCTCGAATTGAAAAGGCAAAAATTGCCAGTAATGAAAGACTCGGGCAAAGACGGGTTATCCTGCTAGTAAAGTAAATATATTTATTTCTTATATCTGGACACATATTTCTCTGGAAGATGCCAGGGCGCACCTAGACATCTTCCAGGGCGCAAAAATGCGCCCAGGCGCACCATTTGAGAACTACTGAGCTAGATCAATTATCACTGACTTTGATCCACACTTGGTGCCCACATTTAAGCCTAGTGGCACATTTAACCTACGTTTCGTGAATCCCTAGGGCACTCCGACGTAGTGTGAGGGTTAGTAAAATATATCTCGCTCGACCAATTACGACAGTGTAATGAGATCGATACTCACCGGGTGCTCCATAATTTCAGCCTTGTGCCACATCCAAACCACGCTTAATTAATCACTCTTATAATGATTCGTAAAACTGTCTCGCTGGACCAATTATGAGTGCGTAGTGAGCACGATTCTCACTAAGTGCTCCATATTTGCGGTCTTGTGCCATACCTAGGCCATGCTTAGTACATCAATAAAAAAAAACTATTAATTACTAGGCCCTAACGCAGTACGTTTGTTCAAATGTTGACTTCTTGGCCAACAAGATTAAACGTCTCTGAAGAAGCAGCTAAACACTCTCGAAACATGTCTAATTTGAAATGCTTTTTAACGTAATATTCTAGACAGCTATAGGATCGTCTAATAAAGGTTAATACATATTCGAAATTTACCCAGTAAGAATGCCATATTTGAAAAGAATTCTTATTTTCATTCTTCAAATAATTTCTGAACTCCAGACTTTCTTTTGACGTTGTTTGCCAGCGAGCCGTTCTGCTAAAAGTTATGAAATATTTATTAGTTGAATATCTCAGTTAAAAATTACCTGACGACACCCAGTGTTGGCAGAACCCTTTGACAAGGGGGCAGAGATGTGGGGACGTAAGTACGTTATCACTAATCTACGCTGCCCACAACTATTGTAACAAATTACACCACAGAGAGATAATTAACGACTTTGGCAGCAACAACGAAAAAAAAAAAAAGAAAAAAAAGAAAAGAAAATTGGATAAAAAAGAAAAAGAATAAGGAAGAGAAAATAAAAGACAAATAAATAATAAAAAAAAAGCCACATGTTTGTTTAAAAGTCATAAAACAGAATGGTAAATAGGACGAATAAAATAATTAAGTCGTTGCCTGTTGACATTTTTTTTCGATAACGCATCGCTAAAAGAAAAATAAAATGAAAACCGGTTAGAGAATCAGCGTCGAGATAAGAAATAGTCTTAAGTTGCCATCTTTTTTTTTCCTTCTTCCACAGATTGAGATGAAGATAAGTGTTACACAATCACAAGTCAAAGCGAGCACACACACGCGCCTATACATAAATACGTGCATGCTTTTTTTTTTTAACACATGAGCACACATAAAGCGCAGTCAAACACGTACGTATATATCTTATGCAGACAAATGTTTACAAGGCGACAAACATACAAGCACACAAACGTGTATATAAATTCACACGGCGGGGATGAAATGGTTGATGAGCCATTAGATAATGAATGAGGCGCGCTCTATATATAAGAGAATGAGTGTATAACGCGCGGGAAATTGACAGTCTTAGTCGGTCAGAACTATACCGGAAGATTACGATTAATAAGTTCTGAGACTGCAGTATTAAGCCCTCTCTTTTCCTAGGTCTCATTTTATGTTCCTTCTGGTGTCAATTTTGTTTTTTTTAAGCTAATAATAATAATAATAATAATAATATATATATATATATATATATATATATATATATATATATATACAGGGTGTCCATAAAGTTCGTGTGCTCTTCAAAAAATTATAACTTTATTTGTATTTGCGATGGAAATAATCTGTAAAAAATGTTATAAAGTTTAATGTATCTAGTTTTAAGTATAGCTAAAATAACTAATGTGATTTCAGGCATTACTGTAAATCAGTTGGCAAATGTTTTCCGTGAACTGCAAAATCGTATTACCCTTTGTATTGCTAATGATGGAAGACATGTGAAAACTTAAATAAAATTTCAATAAAACCTTACAAAATATAGATTTACTTCTTTCTAATCCTTTTTACAAATTATTTCTATCGCAAATACAAATAAAGTTATAATTTTTTTAGAGTGCACACGAACTTTAGGGACATATTGTATATAGGAATATAGGGTTGGTATAAATGGAATAAAATTCCGATAACCAAAACCACTATTTTTTAAAAAGTGCTCAATAGAAAAGATGAGCGAATAATATATATTTAAAAATTATAACATAAGCATGTTATAACATCACTACAAAAATAGCCATTTTGTTTCAACAAATTTTGGTGTTTTGTCAAGTGATGGTGCAATCAACACCGTCTCTTGACAAGACACCAAAGTCTTGAAACAAAATGGCTATTTTTGTAGTGATGTTATAATATGCTTATGTTATAATTTATATATATATGTGTGTGTGTGTGTGTGTGTGTGTGTGTGTGTGTGTGTTTGTGTGTGTGTGTGTACAAAACATGTCTCCCCTGCCATCAACCTCAACTTATTTAACAATGGAAATGGAGTGTTAAACCTTTTTAAAAACTAGAAAGATGCTCACGCGATTTGGCCACAGAGACGCGTTCGGTTAGCAAGGTCGAATTTACTGTAAATCGATAAAGGCACGTCAAGCTAAATGACGGTCCCGTATAGGATACAGGTTCGAATCCTGTCGGAGGACGAATATTTTCTGTTGTTTAATACTGTTTATTATAAACCGAGCATTTACTTATTTGTATCTATAAAAAGAATGTATAAACATAAAATGTCTTAATATATATATATATATTCTACGTACAACGTTTGAAAACATGTGCGATAACGTGGCCGCGTCAACCGCCAATCAAGGGAGGTAACGCAATTTCGGTGGCTAAGGCAGTACTGCCACCTCTGTCGCCACCAGCAGCTTTTGCCACCGGACAGAGTATTGTTTTTTTGTGTGTAGACTTCTGCGATTTTTTTTACAGCTGCAAGTCAGATTTTCAACCATGTGTTAAAAACGTTTGCTTTTGATCGTTAACTAATACACAACGCACTCGTAGCGAGCGTTATCAATGACGTAGAATAGAAGGTAAACGGATATGTTCACGTTGGAAGTAGCATTGTGTTGTGGGCATGGTTTTATTTAACTTTATTGATTTGGGATCTTTACCAGATCCAATTCAATGCCTGTTGAAGCACGCTTCAGGCACCGGCCAGTGATATCCACCTTCAACAGGAAACAAACAAACAAAAAAAAAACAAAAACGATTGACCGTCCAAGGAAACCACGACCCCCGACCTCGATAGGTAGCACGTGACATGTCCATCCCTTTTCCCCACAGTCGGATCGCAGCGATTCGTAGAGGATTTTCTTTTGCTCATGCGTCTCCTTCATGTTCTCCTCCCATGGAACCGTTAATTCTACTAGGATGACACACTTCTTTGAATCAGACCACGCTACAATGTCACGGCATACGTCTGTCTGAATGATGTGTACAGGAAATTGCAGAGATGTTCTAAGATCAAGTAACACACTCCAAACACGAACTCCACTCAGTAATGTCATGTTGGAAGTTATTTGGGTCTTTCGCTCAGAGCGTTCACATTCCTTGTGAAAACGGATCTTGGGTTCTCTGGCCGTTACAGGCTTTTTGTTGGCTGCTTTACACTGTGTACTGACTAAATCCATGTCCGCTTTGTTAAAACGCCACGTGTACATCTGCAGTGATTGTTGGAATGCAGAGAGCACGCGACATAAAGTGCCTCGACAACTTTAACATAATGCGCATACATCAGTGTCAGTGATCCCCGACAGCATCTTGAGGTTGGTCGTATTTGGTAGGAGATCATAGGTAGATCGCAGGAGGAATGATTTTACCAATGCAATCAGGGTATTCAATGACAGCTTCATCGGATCAATATCACTCCAAGACAAAGTTTTATAGAAAATGGAAACAAAAGGGACACACATACATAACATCAAGAAGAGAGAGTTGAAATTTCTAGAGTATATAATGAGGAAAGAGGGCTTGGAAAATCTGATACACGCAGGACAGATTGAAACCAAGAGGGGCAGAGGAAAACAACGCATAACATACTTAGGGATCATCAGTAAATGGATACTGGAACAAGGTTTAGGAGAGATAAACAAGGCAACATTTATTAAGAGCTACAAAGGACAGGACGTTGTGGAGAGCCATGATCACCTACGTCTTGAAGGGACACAGCACATAGACTAAGAAGGTTGCCAGCAAAAGAAAAGGCCTAAGTAGCGAATTATGAATGTCAATATCAAACAAATAAAAGAAGTTTAAATATCTGGGAAGTGCTTCAACGGAAGACGGAAGGTACAAGACTAAAATCTGAAGGCGTATGAGGATAGTGAAAGATGCCTTCCAAAAACTAAGATAAGTATTAAGAAACAGAAAAATTTCGTTAGAAACAAAGAAAACTGCTGAGCTGTTACGTAATATCAGTTCTCCTCTATGACAGTGGATGTTGGACAATTTTTTCACAGATAAAGAAATAAACTCGGGGTAACAGAAATGTGGTTCTACAGAAGGATGCTGAGGATACCATGGGCCGAATATTTGCGCAGGGAGGAAAAGAAAATATACATACTCAAAATAAAAAGAAAAAAACGAGACAGCTGAAATTTATTGGATACATAATTAGAAAGAAGGGCTTGGAAAATTTAACACTCAGGACATCGAAGGCAAAAGATGTAGGAGGCAGCGGGCCACCTGAAGAAGTTGTGTGAATGGCTGGCGGAATGGAGGTTGCGAGAGAGGGTAAAAGGACAAACGTTACTATAAGAGCTTCAAAGGATATGAACTGGTGGAAAACGATGATCTCCCACGTACTTAAGGGTCACAAAAAGAAAAAGCATAATAGATATGTTACTGAAGTTTTGCTGGATTCAATGATTTGATTTTTAAGGTTTATCAACATTTAAAGCCATAATATTTTTAGATTGTAAAATATTTTTAGAGATAATGATTTACTGATACATCCTACTAATTAACCCATAACTGGGGGAGAAGAGGTGGATTCATATCTTTCTTTTATTTGAACGTAAGTGAAAATAACGAACCCGTCAGGAATTGAAACTTGGCTCTATGATTTCCATTTCTGAACCGTTATCCATTACACCACCCGTACATACTAAGCTTGTATGTACGGGTGGTGTAATGGATAACTATAAGGGTATTTCAAGCGGTCATTTCAACCTTGCTTAACGTAGGTGACCGGTGTTTCAACGTGATATGGATGTAAGCTTATTTAGACCACCCGCACATCCAACTACAGCATCTGTTATTCCTAAGCGGTCACTCGTCTAGGTACTGACCAGGCTCAACCTTGCTTAACGTAGGTGATCGCCCGAGAAGCGGTGTTTCAACGTGATATGGATGTTTTAGCCGTCACATCCGTCTACAGCACCTGTTATTCCTAAGCGGTCACTGTCTAGGTAGTGACCAGGCTTGACGTTGGTAGGTGATCGCCCGAGAACCTGTGTTTCAACGTAATATGGATGTAAGCTATTTAGACCACCCGCACATCCAAGCTTACAGCACCTGTTATTCCTAAGCGGTCACTCGTCTAGGTAGTGACCAGGCTTGACGTTGCTTAACGTAGGTGATCGCCCGAGAACCTGTGTTTCAACGTAATATAGCTGTAAGCACTTTAGACCACCCGCACATCCAAGCTTACAACACCTGTTATTCCTAAGCGGTCACTCGTCGCAGGAAAAGTGGATTTCATTTAAAATTGTCCTGAGGCATATGATTAAAGTCAGGAATGGAATTTTATTTTCTTGTGTCCAGATGAACCTTTAGGTCAATATAAGTATTAAAATAGGTTTAAGCTACTATTTGGGTTTTGTATTTCACCATAAAATATAAAACGCTAATTGTATCCTTCCTCTTATACTGGCGTGAGACTTGAACTCTCCTGGTTGAGTCAGAAAAAGAAGGATCCAGGCCTACGAGAACGTATGCTTGAGAAAAACCAATGAGCATGTACGCATCAAAGTCAAAAGTCCTGTGGGCCGACAAGAATCTCCCCTCGACATTATTAAGCGTCAGAAGATGTAATGGCCTGACAACATCACACTGAAAGACCATCATGCAAGGCACTGTTGAAGGCGAACACTAGCGGGGACAGCAACGCAGAATCTGGTCAGATAACATCATCCTGGAGGCGGTTGTCTATATGCTCTACTCTTAGGTAACCCCGGGAAGATTGAAGCAGCCAAGAGAATGATGATAATGATGATGATGATAATGATGATGATGATGATCCAGAGCTTTTTTTTAAATAAAAATAATATGCACATAAAATAATAATAATAATAATAATAATAATATATATATATATATATATATATTAAAAATAGCACCTTCTTTATTTTAATATAATTGGAATTAAAAGATTACTTGAAACTGTGTGCGGAACAAGCGTATTAGAAAATTAGAATCGAATAGACACTTGGTGGTTTGCCGCACCTGCGCTGTTATCATCGGCACCGTCTCTCTCTCCCTCAACGTGTTGGTGTTGATATCAAACGCTGCTCTGTGTCGGGACTGTTTGAATTTGGATATATGTATAGTTTTAGTCGGCTCGAAATTAAGGTTTTGGTTTTGTGAGTTGGACTAACACTGACTGGTCATAATATATTATTAATTTTGATTTGGTTAAACGGGATGTATGCGTTGAGTCGATGCACAGAAAACGTATTTACGCATCCGGTTTGTGTAGAAAATATAGGAGACATGATAAACAACACAAGAAATTGGTCACTTGGAAATGAGTAGGAGAAATGTTATCAATACATACAGTTTTCCTGGGCAAGTTCTTTTTTTTTCTGGTCTTGAAATATTTTTTAAAAAGATTTCAGCGTGAAAACACGAGGTTTCGGTTGTGAAGACAACTTTCGCAATTTAAGGACATCTGTACGCGTTTACGAACGATTTAAATTCCTCCTTCCTTTCGGCGAATTTGTGGTTTTTCTATTCGGACTGATTTTGTCACACACACACACACACACACACACACACACACACACACACACACACACACACACACACACACACACACACACACACACAAACAAAAAAAAAGAAAAAAGAAAAAAAGAAAACGTTATAATTTTTTTCATCTTCGATTTAAAAGGGAACATTAAATAGCAGTGAGTAGCAGAAAATTAAATCGGTTCCTTTGCGATTCGAACGCCGATCGCTATGAGCAAACGTATTGAGGCTACAGATTTATTCCGGAGAGGACGTGCCGAATGAAAATGAAATTTAATTATAGCACGATTCTTTGCCTCTTTTATTGGATTGCCTAACTTCTGCTGGAGTTACTGACATAAAGAATCGTGGTTCCCGATCTTTTAACAAAGCAATCATACAACGCAAAGATAAAAAGAAAGAAAAAAAGAAAAACGGTATTTATTGGTACCATGGCGATGAATTTATCTCAAGAAAATAACCGACGTATTCCCAGACCAATAACTTAGATTGGACGCCGACTAAAAACATCACGACTCCTCCAAGAAATCAGAAACAAAATAAAATTCTATTAAACATAACCGTGATTAATGACATCAAACGGTCTCTGGTGTATTGCATGTGTGCGCACACACACACAAATGCACGCCTACTCATAGACATAGATACACATGCAAACATGCACATGCACACATAGCAGACAAACACGCATGCAATATACATAGACACACACGGACACGTGTGTATGTAAATACAATGTACGTGTGCTTCTATCGGGTTAGCCAAAAGATTCGTTTGTGTATAGTGATTTTCCAAGCGTAGCTTAAATGCGGCACAAGGCCGAAAGTAGGGGACACCCAGTGAGGATCGAACTCACTACTCAGTCGTAATTGATTTAGCGAGACAAGCTTGCTAACCATTATACCACCTCGGGGTGCCTCAGATTCGCTTGTGTATAAGCCGACTTTATGTATAGTACGATCCTTGGATTTTTCCTATGAATTTTACACCCCACTCGCCGAAAAATTACCTGCGCATAGTGCAGCCGGTCACCCACAAAATGAATGACTTTCAGCCTCTTAAAAAAATCTGTATATAGTGGGACCCCCTCTATTTTTTGCGTAAAACACAAAAACTGATCATAAAAATAGCATAGTGGTTTTCTATGCACAGTTTAGATGTGGCACAAGGCCGAAAGTATGGGGCACCCAGTGAGGATCGATCTTATTTTTCATCAGTAATTGATCTAGCGTGACAAGCTCGCTAACCATTCCACCCGGCCGAAGTGCCATTGTACTTTGTATATATATATATATATATATATATATATATATATATATATATATATATATATATATATATATATATATATATATATATATATATACGATAAGTAAATGTTCTACTTAATAAGCCAACGAACCTTTTTGGCCAACCGAAGGCAAGTATAAATGATGCATGTCTACAGAGCGAAGCGGTTAATGCTGCGAAAGAATGGGACTGACGTCCTGGGTTCAAATTTCGTACAAATACTATTGGAAAGTTATAAATCTGTCTCCACTACAAGCTGGGCAGATTGGGTTCTTTAAACGTTGGGTAGCTCTCAGGCTACAGTGATTCCCAATCTAATTTTTCTCTGGGTCGCATTTTCGGAATTAAATTTTGCTCCCGTCTCACCAAATTTTATGTGATAAAAAGTACATTTAAAAATAAATAATAAAAAAAAACGAAACAGAGAGAGGTTTAAAGGGAGATAACCACGGATTCGAAGTCAGAACATTACCATTGAAAACTCTCTCCTCCAATTTACGGAGACTAGTTACTATATTTTTAATACTTGATATAATGCAAAAATTTCACTTCGATAAAATTGGTTAATAATTATTTATAACTATTTATACTGGGACTCATGCATGTAATTAAAAGTAATCCATAATAATATTTTAAATTTTGAAATCATATTTATTTTTGGCATATGGATTTTTTAAAAAATCTCTTTCTAATTCTTTGTCTTTTAATCATTACGCCTCACCTGCTATCCTCTTCCGCCGTACCAATGGGGCGCGTCACAATGTTTGGGAACCACTAGGATAGGAGAAGAACAAATCAAAACCAGACTGAAAAGGAGATTTTCTCCGTCAGGCTAATAGCTTAGACATACCCACTGCCGGCACGGTTGCATGGGGTGCCTCAACTAGTTTAATGAATTGCGAATCTAGTCACGAGAGCAAATAAAAAAATCCTAGACCGACTTCCGTATTTGACAGCATATAAGACGCACGGGTGTATAAGACGTACCCCAATTTCAGCAGGGTAAATCAAGAAAAATTACTAATTACTAAAATTATTAGTAAATGATACAGCCTAGGCTATAATTTTGAGGTATTATTTTGGTTAAACAAGCCATAAAAATAATAGGAAAAGAAGAACACGAGCCTATAAAAACTTTATTATATCCAAAGTTTAGAAAACAAAATAAAAATCAAGCAATTATTACAATTGAGCAAAACAGTACAGTTACCATTAAAATTTTATTCATCTTCAAATCCATAAAATTATCGTCTTCGTTATCAAAACTCTGATACTTATTTTCAATACTAGTATTATCGTCGTTTAATAATGCGACATCTTCCGTTCCATTGAGAGCATTGTTAATACCACACTTTTTAAAAGATTTTATAACTATCACGAATTTTAAACCTGCATATAGAATATAAGACGTAGAGAAATTTTAAAAGGTACTTTTAGTAAAAAAAAAACGAAAAAAAAAAAAACGCCTTATATGCCGTCAAATACGGTATTTATTTTTTTTCTGATATTTTTCACGGTATGATGTTTGGTATTTCTAGTTAATGTTAATGTTGTAAGAGTTACTGAATGAGGAATAACCAAAACGGAGGTTGGAAATGAAATGGTAATCTTTATAACATCAACAAAATAAAATACTCGCCAGCGGCGTAAAGTAGGTAAACCACTGCTAGTGGTGGACTACTTAGAAAGCATATTACCCTCATTTGCAATAGTGTCCAACGTATTTATGAGGATTGGGAAGTACCCATTAGTGTTCATAGGTACAGTATATAACAATAGATAATGAAGAGACTGAGATAGATCGATAGATATGTAGGTAGACAAATAACGAAGACACGGATATATATATATATATATATATATATATATATATATATATATATATATATATAAAATAAAAGAAAGAACAGTAAGATATATAATCCGGTGTTCTTATAGATATTTTTATTTTACAAAGCTTCCATTTTTGAAACATGGTTAGAACTGTGTAGCGAAAAAAAAAAACACATATTTTAAATCAATTAATTTTTATATATATATATATATATATATATATATATATATATATATATATATATAGATAGATAGATA